CCCGCAGCCCCCCAGCCCCCGGGCAGCCGGACCCCCCCCCCCAGGCGCTCCCCTCCAGGCCAGCCCTGCCCTGCCCTGCCCAGAGGACCGCGGAGAGCCACGGCCGCGGGGAAGGGGGCCCGACGACCTCTGCGCCTGCCAGAGCCAAGCCCAGGAGGAGCAGAAGGGCCCGGGAGGACGCCAAGCCAGGAGGCACCCCGGTCCCAAGGGCTTGTGGGGGGGTGGTGCAGAGCTCCTGGCTGCACAGGGTTCAAGCCAGAGTGGTGCAGTGGGTAACAGCCAGGGCGGTCTAGTGGTGAAGGGCGACGGACTCTAATCTGGAGCACCGGGTCTGATTCCCCACTCCGTCACATGCTGCCAGCTGGGGGACCTTGGGTCAGTCACAGCTCTCTCAGAGCTCCCTCAGCCCCACCAGCCTCACAGGGTGTCTGTTGTGGAGAGGGGGAGGGAAAGGAGACTGTAAGGCGCTCTGAGACTCCACGTGAGGGCCGGGGTATAAATCCAACTCTTCTTCTTAAACAGTCCACCACCACCACATTATTATTATTTTTTCCGAACACAGAAGAGAGAAGACCAGACCGGGGGGAAATTCTGACATCTCTCTTCAACTTTTCAGAATCTCCCTTCCAAGGACCGGAGGGCCGCGTAGGTGGCTCTCTCCCTTCCTCGTGCATGTTAGCCTCACGACAACCCTGCGAGGCAGGTTAGCCGGAAAGAGTCACGGTAGAGGAGAGGATTTGAAGCCGGGTGAGCCCAGATCCGAGCCCGACGCTCTAAGCATCGTCCGTCCCCCCCGCGGCTCTCCTCCGGTCTCAGGCTCTCCTGGGAGCCAGCCCAGTTGAAGAAGAAGACCCGGTTTGGCTTCCGAGTAGACCTGTTGACTTAATCGCTCTCTTAATTCAGGAAGGGGTTTCTCCGAAAGCGAGCGTCGCCGAGGGTTCAAGGTGAGCCGTAGGCCTGGGCGTTTTTAGCGTGGGGCCGTCTTCCGAGCCAACCCCTCACCACGCCTCGGCTGGGGGGCTGCTCTTTGCTCAGAACGGCAACCTTTCTCTGTCCCTGGGCAGCGGCGTTCAGGCCAAGCCCCCCCCCCCCCCGGGCAGGCAAGGCCCGCCCCGGCCCGTTAACCTGTTAGCCGGGTGGGACTGAAGCGGCCGCACCTCCCAGGGTAGAAGCTCGGGTTCTGGGGAGGAGGAGGAGGAGGAGGAGGAGGAGACGTGCGCGCGGGATGCCTGGACTAAGACCGGGTTGGTCTCCAAGGGGCCGCGGCCGGACTCACACGTCGTTCTGTTCCAGTTCCAGAGCCGGAGGCCGGGCGAGGCGGCCGGAGCCAACCCCCCAAAGGGAGTCTGGCGGTGGCGGCGCTGGGGCTGGGGCTGCCTCGTCCGCCGAGAGGGGAGAGAGAGAGAGAGAAGAGGCCCTTCGTGCCCCCAGCGAGCCAGCTGGCCCTGAAGGGGTTCCCTTTTCCTGTCGTTGCCAAGGGAAGCGCTTCCTTTTCCGCGGCTGGGAAGTCCGGCCCGCTCCCTTCCGTGGGAATCTTACCTGCAACGTTGGCCGGTCTCCCCCCTTCGGGCGGCAGCCCACTTCCGAGAGGCCGCTGGCAACCCTTCTGGCCCTCCTGGCCGGCGCCCTCGCAGCTCCGCGCCCCGGCCCCTGGCTGGCTGCGGGCCTTCCTCCCCCGTCAGGCGGCACAGGGAGACCGCTGGAGTCTCCCCCCTCC